TTATAGGGGAAGTGATAGCCATGCTAACTTTAAAGGTATGTAGGGGCAGTAATATCCATGCTAACTATGTAGGGGCAGTGATAGCCATGCTAACTATGTAGGGGCAGTGATAGCCATGCTGACTATGTAGGGGCAGTGATAGTCATGCTAGCTATGTAGGGGCAGTGATAGCCATGCTACTTATGTAGGGGCAGCCATAGCCATTCTAACTATGTAAGGGCAGTGATAGCCATGCTAACTTTATAGGGGAAGTGATAGCCATACTAACTTTGTAGGTATGTAGGGGCAGTAATATCCATGCTAACTATGTAGGGGCAGTGATAGCCATGCTGACTATGTAGGGGCAGTGATAGTCATGCTAGTTATGTAGGGGAAGTGATAGCCATGCTGACTATGTAGGGGCAGTGATAGCCATGCTAACTATGCAGGGGCATTGGTAGCCATGCTAACTATGTAGGGGCAGTGCTATCCATGCCAGTCCAGGGAATTACTGCAGTTCTACTGCAAGGTACCTTGGTCAAGGTCAATGACCGGCGTACCTGACATGGAACAACCAGACCATGCATAGTGCTTTGGGTTAATAGAATATATTAATTAAGCTATGTATGCTTCCAAAAAAAAGATCCACCATCCCCTTTCTTTTATTTTACAACTATACTACTGACTGAGCCCTACTACTTGACAAAGCCATAGTTAATGTAGAATAAATAATTAAATAAACCAAAGCCTTGGTAAGGGGCGTGTTGGCCTAGTTGTTAGAGCAGTGCTCTGTGCTCTGAGAAGGTTGCAAGTACCTGCTTTAATCCCCACAGCCTCCACCCTGGGTTCCTGAGCAAGACCCTTAACCACACACACTGCTCCTCGGGCGTCGCACAATGGCAGCCCACTGCTTCCAGCCCACTGCTCCCCAAGAGGATGGGTTAAATGCAGAGAGTGAATTTCCCCATTGTGGGACAATAAAGGGAATAATATTTACATTACATTTCCATAACGCATCTCATGAGGCTGTTCCTATGTTACGCCATCTGCTGGTATCATGCCAACGTTTCTAAGTAATTCCCTTTTGTTTCTGGCTCTGTGGGAACTGTCTGTCATAGAGAATTATTTTATGCTTTGCTTTTTTTGCTAAAGTTTTTTTACTTACATTAAACCAGGTTTAATTTGTATTACTTCAAGAAAAGTTCAATTCATCAAATAAACAGTTAAAATTAAGTTTTGGTCATCTAGCCCATAGCAGTTAGTTTAGTTAAATGAACACTAATGGAATATCATTGACTGTTTAAAGACCAGTTTTGATCTACAGCAGAGGTCTAAACCTTTAAAACCCAAAGAACCATTGTTGCTCTTAGGCCATGCTAATAAAACTCCTTTAGAGTTGCAAATGTTACATCATCTCTGGAAAAAGACAACATAGCTTTTAAGAAATACTAACTGAAGAAAAAATGTCATTTTAAAGAACCCAGGTTTGTTTTTTAAGGTTTTAGAATAAAAACATTTCTTTTGACCTCATCACCTTGCTTTTTTTCTAGATTATTCTGGTCCTAACATTAGGGAAAAGTTCCTCCCTCAGCATCATCTGACTGGTCTGCAGCTCCATAGCCACAGTCAGTAAACGAAGACAAACTGTGTTGTCTGATGACATCATGACATCATCATTCTATCTCTATTCTCCTACTCTGCAGAATCTGTTAGTTCAATCTCTAACGTTCTGCTCTCTCTGCTTTTTCTCATAGTAGCTTCATCTGGTCTGTTCCTGTTTGGCTGTGACTCCATCCTGGAGAGAAATATCAGCTGTGCTGCTGCCATCAACACCTTTATTTCCAGATGTTGGAGCTTGGCCTGTTTTCCAGTGTAGTCCTGTTTCTCTGACTGTGACTAACTGGATGTGCTCTCTTCATCCTCTGACATGGGAGCTGGCTCGGAGCTCGTCTGCCTGGCTGTGTGTTTCCTGGACGGGGCCGCCTGTGGAGCTGGTTGACAGTTGCCTTTTGTATCTATGCTTCTTTTTCTATGTCTGCTTCTGTCTCCTTGAACCCCAGTGGGCCTCAGCAGATGGCCGCTCACACTGAGCCTGGTTCTGCTGGAGGTTTCTAGGGAGTTTTTCCTCTCCACTGTTGCTACAAGCATTCTTAGTGTGAGGGATTGCTGAAGAGTCAATGAGTCGATGCAATCAGCTGGTTTTCCTTAGATAGAAAACTTTGAATCATTCTGACTGGATGATCTTGTGAACTGGAAAGTGACCTGAGATGACATGATGTGAATTGGAGCTATAGAAATAAACTGAATAGAATTGATGACTTGAATTTAAAAAAAAAGCATTAACTGCTTCAACACCTTTATATGGTTTTTCTGTTAGACTCCAAAACACTTTGCCTGTTTCTGGTTAAACGTGAATAATTCTCTCCCCCCCTTTGGTGATACTAACCTCTGAAAACTGGGGAAAAAGCTCAAACCCAATGTTTTTTCAGATGAGATGATGAGTCTTTATCAAACTAAAAGCGTTGCTGCTTATTCTGCTTGCAACACTTCAACGTTGTAGACAAATTGCACATTTGTCACTTCTTATATCCCACTAAAAGTTTGATACAGCTCACCTTTTTATAGACAAATGTGCCTGAAAGGTTTAGGATACCAAAGCTCTGCTGGTATGGTTTGTCGGTACAGAATAAAAAAAAAAGGTTTTAGATTGCTGCATTTATGATCTGGTTATATATTGGAAAGAATTAAGAATATACCTCTATAGAGTATGTTGTTGTTTTTAACGAATCCCCAGTTGGTCATTAAACTTTTTTATCATATTTACCCACACGTCAAATTCACTCAATGCCAAGTTTTAATCAAAACTTAATTTATATTGATTATTATTGTCTTTTTATAAGTAAGAAAACAACCAATAAAAGGTAAAAAATATTTTATTACGAGATGTTGTTTTTTCACCAGCTTGTATATGTTATTGGTCCAGCATTTTTGAAAATAAACATTGGAAGTGGAATTAGTTGCTCCTTAAAAAATGCGTAATAAACAATGAAGTAAGTGAAATTTCTTATGAAATTTGATTTCATTTAATTTCTTATAAAATGTAATTTTCTTTATCCTGTTAAAGTATATAAAAACAGATATAAATGGGAATTGGACCCAATGTGGACTTTTTGTTAAAAAAAATGGAAGAAAAGTTTCATCATCTTTTTACAGGATTTTAATTATACCAAAATATTCTGGAGAAATATTTTAATTTTTTTACATCAAAGAAATCTCAATATTTCTTCAACGAATAAGGATGCTTTATGTGAACTTGTCAAAACAGAATTTTTATATTGTTAACTTTATTATTTACGGTAAATATCATATTCACACCTCCAAATATTTACAACAAAAAACTAATTTCCAGATTTTATTATCTTCTATTAATATCCATATAAAATAATTAAAATTCGGCTCAAATGCTAAAGCGATTCAAATCATATCTGCCCTTAAAGAATTGCAAACCTCAACAGATTTGATTTTGAAATTGACAAATAATTACTATATATTCTGTAAAGCCCTGTGATGTTGTATCTGTGTGTAATTATTAATGTTCTACGTTGTTCTTGTATCTTTTTTGTTTGCAATAAAAAAAAAGTTAAGGATATGAGCACTAGGTAGAGCTACTGAGCCACCAGAGGCTTCAGCGGCGGGCTGCAGGGCTCAGGGGCCCGGAGTGGAGCAGAGTGAGGAGGGGACTTCATGATCAGAACTGGACACAAGAAAAAGGCTTAAATAATCTAAACCTAAAATAATCCTTTTATTATTTTATTAAGCATATATTTATTATCATCAAAATAAGGTAATATAACCATGATGTTAATAGGATTCCTATTATAAAATCCATTTAGATTAAAATATCTACTACTGCTTGTGCATCTTGAGGAATTTAGGTAATTATTAAAAAGAACTAAAACATCATAACGCAATCATATTATTCGTATGAATATAAATATTAACAACATTCTTAGCATATTGAAAACACTCACATTAAATAGATTAAAAAAGAAATATGGATTTATCTAAATCCAGGCAGTTTATTATTATTTTTATGCGGTTTTTATTGGATCAACATTTCGATTTTAAATTTGTTGTGTGATCTGGGAGCCAAACTGTTGCAAAATAAAAAAGCGGAGTGCTGTAGTTTCTACATTAAATGCAAAATAATAATAATTATTATTTGATGTAGAAGGAAAACTGGAAATGATTAGATTTATAGAAGGACAGAGCAGCTGAGTATCCCCCTGCAGCAGGTGAGAACACTGAGACCACTTGCTGCAGCAGCTCAAGGCCTGCGAAGCCAAAGATGGCTGCTGCTCTATGCCACGCCCCCTTCTATCCCATATTTATGCGTTTTTCTTTCCCCCAAAAATTAAAATTAATTTTCCGCACATTTATAGTGTCTATAATGCATCTCTGGTCCTGTGAGATGAGATTTTGGGTGAAAGTAGCTTTTAAAAGTGCGCAAAAAGCAGCATCCAGAGGTTATGTGTGCAATAAGGGGCTCGGGTGCTCTGATGTGTCAAAAGGAGCTTAAAATTGATAAAAGTGTACTTTTTTCCATCCAAAGTATAAAACACTACCATATTATATTACAGTAGGGCTTTTAAAAAGTCCTTGCGTAGTTATTTTTATTGAAAAATCGATTTGAGAGCGTTGCTTCTGAATATTCAAATTGTAAGTAACGCGCAATCAAATCATTGTCAAATCATTGAGTTCTAGGGGTTTTAAATAGTAGGGATGGAGAGAGAAAATCTCAAACTAATATGTCCCCAGCTTTATTACAATATTGTTGTATGCTCTGACCCCGCTGGAATACATTTGACTTGTTGTTTTTGGAGACTTTTGTAGAAATTTCGTTCTTGGCCATTTTGCTGAAGCAGAGCAGAACGTTGTTGAGATCCAAAGGTTTTCTCCAGGGAATCTCTCCTCATCTCAGTCATCATGTCTGGTAAGTTGGACCTTGAGTTTGTTTTTTTATCTGGGGATTCGATTTTGTTTGCCTTTTGTCCTGTTAAAAAAAGAAAAGAAAAAAATGAAATGTTAATCTTGGCTTTGGAAATAGAACTTAAAAAAAAGTAAAATAAGCAACATTTTAAGGCAGAAGAAAACGCAGAGGGTTTTATGAGCATTTATAAGCTTATTTATTTGCACTTTTACAATTATTGCTGAAGGTCTGAATAGTTTTATTAAGCCTCCTTGGTTATATTCTAACCTTCCACCTGCCTCCTTCTGAAATACAGCCTGAATGTGTTTAAGCACATGACCGTTTTACAAACTTTTATTAATATACACGACGTTTAGATTATTCTGAGCGTTAGTTGAAGCAATTCACATGTAGATGTGCATTTTTTTTTTTGTGCTCACATTTTGGATCATGATGATTTGCCAGTGGAGCTAAGATTTAAGACTTAGGCGCTCTGTCCGGACAGCTTGTGCGTAACAGGGCGTTTGAGTGGGATGTGTCTGCGTGTCGTTTTAGTCCATTATTTCCCCACATTTAAAACAAATCAACAGAAGCATTTAACTATATGAATATTTATCAGAGGAGGTTTTGCAACCGATCCTTTCTTGTCTCATCAAATCTCCTCGCCATTCCAGAGTTCATTAAATTGCGCCTTCAGGGGCCAAATTACGCACACACGGTGTACCTTTATGCTTTAGAAGAAGCTTTTATTAATTTTCCCTACTTATTAAATTTATTATTTTTTTAAATCTGCAAATAACCCTGCATGCAAACGCCACAGGTTAACACTGTCACGCATTCAAAAAGGGGGGCAGGGGTGATTTGAATAAAATAACAGAGATTGGAGAAGAGTTTTGAGGAGGGTATTGGTTGGAAAACAATCCCGACGTGAAGTAGCTGCAACATTTCCCACAACACAAAATCTGATCGCATTAGAATCACAGAGAAAATCATAAAACTATCAAAGTACTTTTATAAATCCGCGTTAAAACGCTTTTTAACTCCTCGGCGCACAACTCCGCACTCATAGTATTTTCCTTAGTTTTCTCGATTGATCGCTTTCCTGGCGCTCATCTACTTTTGTTTATATGTTACTGAGTTTGACCAAACGAATCGGAGGAGCTTTTAAACCACAAATGGTGTTTTTTACATCAAGAATATATATTCCGCTCGCTTTTATGGTAAAAAAACCCAAAAAACTTACTGTTGCAGCATTTTGTGCCGATTTCTATTCCTTTGCTTTCTTCCTGGTCTGCGCGCTGCGGGGATTTGAAAGGTTGGAAAAGCGCCTCAGTCTGAGGCGGATGGGGGAAGAAAAAGAGTCGGGAGAGCGGAGGGGTGTTCTGCGGCTAATGTGCGCATTAACTGCGCTTTTTACACACAGAAAAGTTCACATTTTAAAGCAGAAAAATATTTATTAAATTATATATATATCGAAAAAACATGTTGTTAAACAACAGATTTAAGGTGATGCATTTATTTAATCGGATGGGAAGAAGGGAAACTCTCCTTGGGGGTGAGGTGGGGTGAGAGGTATGTGTTCTGTGGGGGGACTGTTTGGTAAACAGTTGGTCTTTTTGTGCAGAAAAGCCAAGGGTGTACCAGGGCGTCCGGGTAAAGACCACAGTGAAAGAGCTGCTGCAGAGACACCGAGCCCGGGAGGCCAGCAGTAAGAAGCTCCAAACGGTAAACACTCCCCAGCCCCACCTTCCCTTTCTGCGACCCCTGCACAGCAATCACTAATAAATAACCCCTTGCTCTTCTTGCGGCAAAAAAATCAAGTGTTAAAGTCTTTTTATTTATTTTTAACAGTTATAAATTTGCTCCTTTACAAACCAAAGTTCTAACTATCCCGCTTTCTTTCCTCTCTCTCATGATTGATCCTCTCTGGCACTGACTGCTTCTCCAGGTTTACTTGGAACAAAAGGAGCTTTGCATGCCCACCCATCCAAGTAAGTGAGAAAGTCTAACCATTTATTCATTAAATCATTCATTCGCTGATTTATTAGATTTTTTTAGGGATTTTATTTTGTGCCATGGGTTAGGGTTAGGGTTAGCCATGCGCCTTGAGTTAAAGACTGCAGCGCAGCTGGAATAAAGCCATGCAGCGCGCTGCATTCCCCGCTGCTGCAGGTAGGGACCTGCCCCTGACCCCGCAGAGCTGGAGCACCTCGCTCACTGCTGCAGGAGCATAACCAGCCCTTAAACTCAGGCTGCTTGGAATGCAGAGGCTGTAAATTATTTCCAACCTGCAGCTCTCCACTCATCGCTCTAAATTTAAATTTAAAGACCCAATGAGGTCTGAGCAGCGCGCGCGCATGCTGCCCTGAAGACACTTAATCTCCCTTAAGAAAAAAAATGTATAAAATAAATGGAGTCCATTTAGAAACCAATCTTTAGACTGTGTTCACCATCAGCGCGGCTCTGATATGACTTTTAAATCTGATCCCTTCAGGTCGCCAGGAGCCTCCTCTTTCAGCCCCTTTGGCAGAGATGGGCTCGCGAGCCCTGCAGCTGTGCGCGCCCTCCTTCACTGCCCCTGACAGCTCGTGCAGCATGCACGTGCAGGCGGCTGTTTTCGGCGACCCCCAGCAGCAGCAGCAGCAGTTTGGAGACGTGATGCTGCCCAGCAACGGCTACAGCTTCAGCCCCAGAGGAGGCATGGACTACAGCTCCCCCATGGCCTCCCATCCCACCTCCTCCCCTCTGCCCTGGAACCACGCTCTGTCCTCCGATGTGGACTACTACGGCCAGGGAATGGTGAGTCTCAGCCTCTTTCTCCATCTAAACACTTTATTTTTTCTTACTTTCATGTAATAGAAAATGATCTTTAACAGTCCAATAAACAAATGAAGATATCAAATAACAAAGTAAAACATCAGTTAGTTTATTTTTCCAGGCTTTGAATGAGAAAGTAAATGAGATTTTATATATATAATGCAAAAAGTTCACATTTTCCTCTTTTTTTTCTTCAGACGTTACAAAAAACAAAAGCAAACCATCAAATAACAATTTATCATACAAAGAACAGTAAAATGTCAATCAAACTAAATTTCAACCGCTATTAGGAAATTAATATATGATTAATATAAGTATCATCAGTATCAATACATTATTTTCTGGGACTGACCTTTTCCTAAATGCCCTAAACTGAGATGTGAAGCTTTTTGAGATTTTAGCAGAACTCTTTGCATCTATTAATTCTTTCACCTTTTAACCATCTTTTAACATAGTTACAACTAAATGGAAACCTAAAATAAAAAAGTAATGCAACTATTTTCACCATTTACTTAATCATAATTCATATCATTACTTTAACACAATTGTTTCATGTTAGCAGGGTAGGATATAAAACAACTGTCTTAAAGTAACTAAATATGATTTAGTAAATGCCAAAAGCAGTTGCATTATTTTTTTTTCAGTAGTTGACGAATAAACTGAGTTAATTAACCAAAATGAGGGCGATTGGTCACTGTTGGGGTGATTTTATGCTAATTTAAACCGGGACAAAACTATTTCCCTAAACTGAGTTTCATTTAACTCACTTAAACTGTCTCTCCAATGAAGACTGATTCCAGTGAAGAACAGATATTTACAACGCAGCGCCTGCTGGTGTCCTTCTCACTGAGTTCTTTCCATAATGGTCCTTTGCATCTGATCGCTGTCCCTCTCTTTCAGGCTGCCTACTCCTCATCCGAGTCCCTGACGCTCTGCAACCCCCTGGATCCCAACAGCTACTCCCCACAGGACTCCTTCTCTTCTTCCTCCTCATCTTGCTACGACTCGCCTACTAGGATGGAGTCCAGCTTCCACAGCTTCCCCTTGGAAAACTACTCCTACCAGCAATGCGGCTCCCATCAGGACTTTATGCCGGGCTGCTGGCCGGCCCAGCAGGAGAGCATCCCTGTCCCTGAATACACCCCTTATTACACCCCCACAGACTATCCCTACATCCCACCTGTGGAGGAAAGCTACGCCAGGAAGGATTTTACTCTGGGATCTGAAATGTGTTATAACGTTCTATGATGAGGCTTTCACTCCTGTCCCGTCCCACTCCCACAGAAAAAAATGGTGTCCCGTCCCGATCCCGGGCCAGAGTAGAAATCTACAGGTGCTGGTCATAAAATTAGAATATCATGAAAAAGTAGATTGATTTCAGTAATTCCATTTAAAAAGTGAAACTTGTATATTATATTCATACATTACATACAAACTCATATATTTCAGATGTTTATTTTGTTTAATTTTGATGATTACAAATGACAACAAATGAAAATCTCAAATTCATCATATCAGAAAATTAGAATATTACTGAAGACCAATAAAAACAAAGGATTTATAGAAATGTTGGCCAACTGAAAAGTATGAACATGAAAAGTATGAGCATGTACAGCACTCAGTATTTAGTTGGGCCTCCTTTGGCCTGTATTACTGCAGCAATGCGGCGTGGCATGGAGTCGATCAGTCTGTGGCACTGCTCAGGTGTTATGATAGCCCAGGTTGCTCTAATAGTGGCTTTTAGCTCTTCTGAATTGTTGGGTCTGGTGTATTGCATCTTCTTCTTCACAATACCCCATAGATTTTCTATGGGGTTAAGGTCAGGAGAGTTTGCTGGCCAATTAAGAACAGGGATACCATGGTCCTTCAACCAGGTACTGGTAGCTTTGGCACTGTGTGCAGGTGCCAAGTCCTGTTGGAAAATGAAATCTGCATCTCCAAAAAGTTGGTCAGCTGCAGGAAGCATGAAGTGCTCTAAAACTTCCTGGTATGTGGCTGCGTTGACCCTGGACCTCAGAAAACACAATGGACCAACACCAGCAGATGACATGGCACCCCAAACCATCACTGACTGTGGAAACTTTACACTGGACTTCAAGCAACGTGGATGAAGTGCCTCTCTTCTTTTCCTCCAGACTCTGGGACCTTGATTTCCAAAGGAAATGCAAAATTTACTTTCATCAGAGAACATGACTTTGGACCACTCACCAGCAGTCCAGTCCTGTTTCTCTTTAGCCCAGGCAAGACGCTTCTGACGCTGTCTGTGGTTCAAGAGTGGCTTGACACAAGGAATGCGACAGCAGAAACCCATGTCTTTCATACGTCTGTGTGTGGTGGTTCTTGAAGCACTCACTCCAGCTGCAGTCCACTCTTTGTGAATCTCCCCCACATTTTTGAATGGGTTTTGTTTCACAATCCTCTCCAGGGTGCGGTTATCTCTCTTGCTTGTACACTTTTTTCGACCACATCTTTTCCTTCCCTTCGCCTCTCTATTAATGTGCTTGGACACTGAGCTCTGTGAACAGCCAGCCTCTTTAGCGATGACCTTTTGTGTCTTGCCCTCCTTGTGCAAGGTGTCGATGGTCGTCTTTTGGACAACTGTCAAGTCAGCAGTCTTCCCCATGATTGTGTAGCCTATAGAACTAGACTGAAAGACCATTTAAAGCCTTTTGCAGGTGGTTTGAGTTAATTAGCTGATTAGAGTGTGGCACCAGGGGCCATCAATTTTGAACCTTTTCACAATATTCTAATTTTCTGATATGATGAATTTGAGATTTTCATTTGTTGTCATTTGTAATCATCAAAATTAAACAAAATAAACATCTGAAATATATGAGTTTGTATGTAATGTATGAATATAATATACAAGTTTCACTTTTTAAATGGAATTACTGAAATCAATCTACTTTTTCATGATATTCTAATTTTATGACCAGCACCTGTAAATCCTGTCCCGTCCCACTCCTGGGGAAATTACTCCCACTCCCATCCCGCTCCCATTCAGAATGACTCCCGCTCCTGCTCCACTCCCATTCTTGTTGTTTTTGAGCGCGGGTGAAAAACTCAGAGCGGGAGTTACTATTGGTTTGCTCCCGCTCCCGTTAATGTTTAATCCTGTACCGTCCCAATCCCGTGATCGTTACTAATACTGACTCCCATCCCACGGGAATCCCACGGGAATCCCGTGACCCATGGGATTCCCGAAAAAATGTCAGTCTCTAGTGCTGATGAATGTTTAGAGGATGAACAGATATTTTTTTTTACAATCTTGATTTATTTTTATACACATATTTCTTGTACAAAATAAAAGAAAAAAAAGCTTCAAGTCACTGGAGTGGAATTTGTTTTTTTAACAGCAGAAAAAAGAAAGAAGAGAACGGAGCAGAGAGAGAGACGTCTGAGGAATCCAAAGAAAAAAATAAAAAGTGCTGCTCGTCCTGTGGCCTGCGTAAGAACTTTTTATTTTTTTCTTTGGATTCTGGGATGAAGTTTGGATTTATCGCCATGCAGAATACATATAATGTTTTCTGTTGGAATACGGAGGACAGGCGACCAGAGGAAGCTGCTTGTTTATATCTATCTAGAGTATTAAAAGGTTGCAGACGTCTGATCTAGAATCAGTCCTTTATCTAAACCATCTGTTGCCTTTACCTGCTGCAACAGGGGGATAATTTTCCTGAATATACTGCCTGGAATCAGCTTAACTTTCTAAGTTTGTCTTCTAAGTTAACTTTTATTCCCCAACCTATTCAGGAAGTATTAGAACCAGGTCATCCTATGATCCTCAGAGTGCATTCATACAGTAGTAGCCATTCAAAATTCTCCACTTTCCTAGATCGGTTTTTGGCTGTCTCCCTAAAATTCCTTTTTAAACATCAATCTTTTGTACTAAAATATTCTTTCTTTCATGATTTGTGGACATTAAGATCTAAAGAGAAGCTTTATCTGGTCAGATCCTGTAATTCAGTGAAAGGGTGGAGTCAGAGTAAAAAATATGCACGCCCAGGAGAAGGCCAGTGGCTGTTGGAGGGGATTCTGCTGGGAGTCGCAGGGGAGTAGGCTGCCATTCAGCTGGCTTTTCACTGGGAAGGGCCATTTTGAATGGCTGCTACTGTGCTAATTAAAACAAGATATATAGTTGGAACTGCAGCTCTGTTTACACTATAGCCCCGTTTACACTAACCTTTTGAAAAGTGCCGAGATCATGCCGAGCACGGAAACCAAGATAACTGTTTAGTTATATATATATTACCAATCCTCCCAACATATTCTCATTATCAGTTCATATGAAATCGTATACGAAAAGTTATGCACACTATTTCGTACGTTTTTGACATTTTTCCTCAAAAAACCACATCAGTGCGCATGCGCTGGCAGACAGAAAAAAAAAGCAGATCCGCGGACGGACGTAAAACTGGGAAAAACAGTGCAATAATCACTTATTCATGTCTCTAACTACGTTGCTTGCTGTTTTATATCTTAGGCGTTAGACACTCTCTCGATGACCCCCCCCCCCCCCACCCAGTCCGACGACTAGAGCAGTTTGTTAGGGGATCAAAGGCATTGCACGGGCCGACGCACGTTCGTTGGTATCTCTCAGATCCATAGCCAAGCCAGTTTGTAAAACTTGGAGAACTAGGGTTAGCTTTTAGAGTAATGGCTAAGTTTTAGGGTTAAGGCAAGGCTTAAAATTAGGTTTAGGGCAAGTGTCAAGGCTAGGGATCGGCTAAGTGTAATTTTAAGGCAAGGGTCAGGTGTTAGGGCTAGGCATGGATTCCACTAATATTAGGGTCAGTAGCTAATTGGTCTGGTAAGGTGATATGTGCTATAAGTGTAGTATAAGGGTGGAGGTTATGATTAATTGAAGATAAGTATATTAATTTTAGTTCAATGGAGGAAGCAGAGTCAGGGTAAACCGCCCTGGAATGGGCTAAGTTGACCCCCGCCAGTCTGGCATGTGAACTCTGCCCCCTCCACTCCCTGCAGTTCTAAACTGAGGGAAGGGAGGTAGGTAGAGGGAAATGTTTTATAAATAAATGTTTTTTAGGTCTAATATTGGTAGGAGTGTTGTTACTAAAGGTTAAGATTTTGATAATTTCGGTGTAAAATAGGGTGTAAGGGATTTTATAGAAATTAGTGAGGAGTGGTCACATTATGGTATTAATTCACTAATTGTGGTTAATTTAAGGTTGCTCATCAGGTGTTTAAAAGGAGACATTTAATGTAAAAGAGGGCTTAACATCAAGCATATTATGGTGAGATGGCCATGTTAAGGCATTATGGGTTAGGGCTAATTGTAATTTATATTCTATGTTCTTGGATGGGGTAAGATGCGCATAGGACGAAAAAAACGTCCCAAAAAACGTCCAAAACGTACGAAATTACGGTGCAGCGCCACAGACTGGAAGAAGGGGAGAACAGCAGAGAGGATCATGGGGGCTCCTCTTCCCTCCATTAAAGACATTTCATCCCAGCGCTGCGCCCGTGACATCATCAATGACCCCTCACCCCCCCACCATGGACTGTTCTCCCTGCTGCCCTCTGGGAAGAGGCTTCACAGCATTTAATGCAGGACCAGCAGGTTTCATAACAGTTTCTCTTTCCCACCGCCATTAGACAGCTGAACTGTTGGGAAAAAACTGAGAAAATAGCTGAATGTTGAAAAGGCTCTAAATCATGTCACAGTCTCTGAGTCAAACTGACCATTATCAAAGCAGAGGTTTTTTTTGCACCATGTTTTTTTTTCTCCCAAAGTTTACTTTTGATTACTGTTGCACTTTAAAACTGGAAATGTCATGAGAGTTGTAAGAAAGCCAAATTCCATTTTTTATACGCTCTGTGTATACAATTGTCTGTTTTCCATTTGCAAAGAATTAATGATGAAAGTAAAGCAGATCTAGTCCTCCTTTATCTTAAGTCATCTTTCACATTTTTAAGCACGTTTCATGCAGGAGTTTATCTTTTTAAAGAAATTAAACCAGCCATGACGGTTTGTTTGGGGTCATAATACTTGATTCATTCTGAGCAGAACCAGAATTTTTATTGAAGCACACCCTTCTCATCACTGGAGATTTCCTTCTTGCAAAACAGTCTTCCTCTTCTTTAAATAAGTCATAACCTGGTATTTTATTTCTACAGTCCCTCCAATAAATTAATGTTTTTTGGGCTTTTCTTTTTTAGGAAAAAAGCTCATTTTAATCCTCCTCTTTCCCCTGAGGGTGCACTCAAGATTTTTGGCTTGTATGTACACTC